TCAATATCTTCGGAAGCAAGTTAAAGAGATTACTAAACAAAATCGATCACTAAAAGGAAAAGAGGAAAGAGATACGCCTCAAAATGTGCTTAGTAAGTTAAATAACTAGATGACATTCAAATGAATATAACTAATATATACAGAGATTTTAATGAACGTTGACTAATGAATACTGTAAAAATGCACTGACCGAAATGCATTGTTGGTTGTTTCGTTGCTAAATAGGGTTTTCCGTAATAATGTATGGATTTTTTTTTATTTGTTGATCTATCAATTTCACTACTCTTTCAAGACGCAATATTTTTTTCTATCCAGCCAAACGATCCATACATGCTTTGCGGTCGCGACTCGTTCCCAAGTCCCCTCTGGTTTTGTAATTTTGCGAATGACAGTTACTAAAGTGGAGTTTAATAGCAACAATGCTTTGCGGTCTGGGATATCAAATTATTCAGTTATCAACCTTGTAAAATCAGAATTGCGAWGATTATAATTAATAATTACAATAATGCGAAATATTGAATATTTACGAAACTAAGATCTCGGCAATTTTGGTAAAATAAGGTTAATTTAACTTTCATTTTTGTTGACAGCCCCCAGCAATCCCCCCTCAGGGCACAATTTGAGCAGTTCGGCTCAGCCCCTTCAAGAGRCTTCACTCGCTGACCGACGGAAGACATTGCTGGCTCAAGAGCGAGAAAATCGACCCAAATACTCCGGYTGGATGTCGCCGTCTAAAACCAAAGACATGTTCAAAGATAAAGCGAATCAATGTCCACATCAGTGATATTAGAAGCTAGGTTATTATATTCAATTTGCGGTTATTGTATTTTCTAAGGTCAATCATGCCTGAGTCATCGGTGCTTTTATCTTTTCATTGTCTGCTATTTAATCCCTCAATGCCGTATTTTCTTACTTTACCGAAAAGCTACAAATTAAAAAACGAAAACGGATAAAGGAGATTACTTMACGGGAATTTGAAACTGCGAAATTGGCGAAGACACGGCTTTCCGTCTTGCTTTGTTCCAAGAAATACATACGATTCACATTACAGGATTACGTGTGTCTAAGAGTATTCATATTTAAACTACATTTCTTAGTRCAGATACTCTTTCGGAATTCTCGTTGCCTTCTACTTGAAGTATTTTCGACAACGCCAACAAAGAAAAAGAAAACTATGACTTATTTTCCGAAAATGGTCGTGGTAGCTAAACTGTGAAATTTCATGGATGTTGTTTGTTTCTTTTGCCTTGAAAGTTTTGTCTTTGGTATTACATTTATTCCTCGTCGTATCTTATAAAAATACCATAAAGTTAAGGGACACTGTCAATGGCACGCATGCGCGAGTAAACTTGAAAACATTAGGCTAATGTTTTCAAGTTTATGACTCCAAGTTGGCGCGACATAATTAATAATTATAATAATAATTTAATAATTTATATAGCGCTATTTAGCAATAAATCAGCTCGTAAACGTAAACAGATCTAGAATATTCCAAAGTGTGTCAAAAGCACCACAAAATGATTTACCTCGAAGGTAATACTTTCAAAGTCCGTTAGAGGCGAGACTGTTACTGCGCATGTCATCCATTAACAGTGTCCCTTTAAGTTATCAAATGCGATGAAAAAAAGAACAAAATAGGATCGCGATTTTTGATAATCTCTCACTTCACTGTCTTAAGAGTCATGCTTGGGTTTCGTACGCACTTGGGTTTTATGAATATCCAAATTATCCATATTTTTCTCTTTGTAAATATAATTACATTTACAGCTATATTAAAAATGTTGGCTGCAAGAATAACAACTGTAACAAGGAATTTCTTCATATACCAAGAGAAACGGTTTAGGAAATTCTAAAGTCTACTAACATTTTCTGAAATTTCATTTCAATGTCCGACCTTTTATTCAAAATAGCTGTATAGAACCGCTTAATATACATTATGAAGTGATCGATCTTCTGATTGTAGATTTTTATAAATAGCCGTGGTTTATTTGATGAAATGAAGATTGTGATTAAAAAAGTGTGTCAAGCTTACATTGTAAGATATTAAAAGATTGCAAATAAAATTATAGAAATGTGCACAACGTCTTTGTTGGAAATTCCTCGTCATTCCTAAAATTATAATGTTTTACATATTTTGAACTTGGATCCTCAAAACGATAGCTTCTCAATTCAATGTATTTTCGAAATAATATACTCTCACAATAGAAACGCAAAGTTTTGGATTTACTTTATTCAGTCATTGCTTGGCTGAATGACAAAAAGATGACTTCATTCTTGCCTTTGCTGTGTAAATAAGATTTTTTTTAATTTTTAATATCCCTCGTCTTATCTTTACAACTATCAAGGTTAAATAATCTGCAAACAGATCATAAAGAAGAAAAGAACTCCGGATACTGACGTGAATCGAATGGATGATTTCGGAAATCAATTGACRCTTAATTTAGGAAGTTTCATTTTTGGGGAAACTGATCTTGGAGAYCGATGGTTTGGTAATACGATCGATGTATTAATTCAATCAATACTTTAAGAGAATTTCGAAAAGAAAAGCGGAATATTTATGAMATTTACCTARAAAAAATTGAGTAAACMGGATGCTTTGRCTACACATTAGTTGAACAAGAAATCCAGTCCAAGATCCACTACAAAAAWACCTTGCCGACAAGAGATTTTCATTAAGAAGRYTTACATCAAAATACGCGAAAAAATAGTTGAAGGAGGGACTTCAGCCTGACAATTTCAAATCMCAGTACTTGAAATCGAAATACTGAATCAAAGAGGGAAACCAGACTATTCTCAAAATAATGTATACTCGGTAAGGAGTGTTTGGTAATATTCAGCTTMAAGTTTTGGAAGCAAGTTTTCGAATAATARGAGTATCTTAAGACTTCAATTTCCACAGCTGCGCAAAAATGATCTTAAACGAATCTTCTGTGAACGTTTCAACCTTTTTTGGTGTCCAGACTCTGCAATCACTKMCTTTTCAGATCGACCGTTCTTTGATAATACCTCGAATCATCATCTACGTYTTCATTGGATCCTTCATCCTTGTTGGAAATGCCTTCTGYCTGGTTGTTTTCCTGCGCACAAAGTCTCTAAGACGTCGTTCTTACGATCTTCTGATAAGCCTATCAATAGCAGACCTTCTTGTCGGATTTTCCAGCATTCTAATATGCGTAGAAGATGGCCTGACTTTGCAGAACAAGCGAAATGATATCCTACCTATTTGGAGGGATGTCTCACAATATTTCCCTCGCATGTGTTCGCTTTTTACCGTTGCAAGTGTCGCCGTTGAGCGTTTTTGGGCGGTAGGGTTTCCTACCAAGCACAGAACGGCTGGAAAGTACCCTTATATAYTACTCATAACAACTCCATGGWTAATGGCCCTGTGGTTATCGCTTCTTTACCTCAGTAGCACACTGGGTTTGACTTCCTTCAGTGTATTTAACTACATTGATGTATTTCTCTCGCAGCTCACACTTCTCACAATAGKTCTAGCGTACTGTGGGTTAATGGTCAAAATGAAGTCAAACACAATAAGAAACAGACAACCGAGGAGCATTTTAAAAGAGCGCAAGTTAGCGGTGACGCTATTTGTAGTRACATTAGCATCGTTGATAACCATCTACCCAGTGAATATCTACTTTGTYATACAAATATTCCATGGAGGACATGAATTTGAGATTTCTGCAAATCTTTTTCTTTTTCTTATAGCACTAGCATGCTGTAATTCCGGCGTCAACGTCGTTGTTTACATGTTCAGAATTAAAGAATTYCAAAGGGTCGCTTTCAGAATGCTCGGAAGACATGGTGCACGTGTTACTTGCTCGACAAGAAATGAAKGTCTTCCCTCACAAAATAACAGTTCTCTGGCGAATTCGAAGATCTAGTTATAATATCTTGTGCGCTAAACCTTATAGCTTATAAACCTTATATGCTTATAGCTGTATTAAAATACAAAGTCATTTGCAAACATTTTGACCGCTACATATATCACTATATCTGGTGCGTTTATGGGTAATTTTAGAGGCTTTTTTGGCTTTTTTCTCGCTAAAACAGATCGCAGATCGCCCAGAATTTTTTTAGTTTAATGTACTGAATAATATATTTAACGAGGTGTGGATGTGTTTTCAGATCAAAAATAAAATTAAAGACATAAGGTGAATTGTTAGAAAGGGTAAAGTTATGTGTAACATGCAGAAAACCTTTTTTAAACTTGAAAAATCATAATGCCATCTACCTGAACTGAGATTCATTCAAAAACATTAAAAGTGGAAATGGTATTTGGAATAATAATAAAAAAGCTAGTTCTCCTGGGAATTAACCATAATTACTGTAGGCACGGTAAATGAAGCCATATCTAATTAGGAAGTTCTTGTGATAATGGTTCGACGTAATTGGCTTTTCACTAAATGTAGGACTCTCTTTTGTTCTTGAAATAGTGTCAGCAATATTATGTGAATAACTTTGATACTGACAGAATTTTGAAGCGAGATAACGTCTATTAACAATAGTTTTGGTTTTTCTAGATRATAGCAATTATAGTGTTGTACAAAGTGTATTTACCTTCACAATGCCTGTCAAAAGGCTGTCAGCAAACAGAAGTTGCTTCACATGGTACAAGTGCACTTGACATAGTTGTTTCACGAGCGTGGATTTCTGGTTATAGCTCCACTTCGGTACTTTAAGGAAGAATACAGAATAAGCTAAGGAATWTGTAAACCGCTTGATTGATTAAAGTTTTTCAAACGCACTTCGTCTAGCCTTAACTTCGCTCGGCGAAGTAAACAGCAATTAAAAAAAAATCGAGTATCTATCGAAATGTCGTTCTAACCAAGAATGCTCGAAACTGTTCGAGTCTTATCATGTCACAATTGTACGTAATGTTTCCTTTGATSTACATAACTTCTAAATGCTTTGTCGAAGAAATTTACTTTTATTTTCAGCTGAATAACTTCAATCGCCGTTTTGAATAACATTATAACAATATAAGCCATGATAAAGTTACCTAAAACCGAGTAGCAAAACAGCGAATAAATGTTATTTGGCAGCTTACCTAAAGATTGAAAGAACGAAGGAAACCTCGCAGCAAATGCTGAAATTTTCCCCTAGTTTCCATGGCTGAATGAGAGTTTTCACTCTTCAGACTCAAATTTGTTGGTCGATAAAATCTCTCAAATGACTTCCACACTGTTTTGCCGGCTTAATGAGCAAAACTCTTTTTAAATCTCGCTGAAGCTTAGAGGGAAGAATATGTTGMTATGCTGCTTTAGTTGGCCAACAGACGAACCACAAATATCCACACAACAACGGCKAGTATTTTTGCAGTGGCAATATTGCTGCATGCACACGTGCATATGCCGATGATGCAATGCACATTGATACCATTGGGAAAAAAAGAATACAAATAACAAACAAAGAAAACAAAGAAACAACATTTTTTAGTCAAGATTCTTGTTTACTTCATCATCTCACGATTAATGGAACAAAAGTCTTTAATAAATTTAAGGGGGCTTCTCAAGTATATTATACGGTTTTAGGGTACATTTAAGACTTTGTGAGCTAACTGTGGTTTGGACGTCTATATGTTTGGTCTATAATTATTTTSTAGTAATTGTTATCTTGAATTGTTTTTGGTGCTTAGTAGTTGTTTGTGTCTATGGCTCATATTGTCAGTGTTGTTATATGTTACTGGTTGCTGCTGTGCTCGCAATTATTGTTGTTTTGTTTGTTTTATTTTACACTCATCAGTATTGATGTTGCTATTGTGACTGTTGAATTGGTTCTGTTAGTGTCGCTGTTTTCGCTGTTGTTTTTTATAGGGTTTTGTCTGAGGTCGAAGTTTTTGATAGGGGCGTTCAGTGTTTTTCTTTCTATGTTGCTGTCCATTGTACGTTGGTCACTGTTGTCGCTGTGGTTATTGTTGTTTGTTGTTGTTGTCGTTGTTGTCGCTGTAGTTATTGTTATTGTTGTCGTTGTTGTCGCTGTCGTTATTGATGTTGTCGCTGTAGTTATTGTTATTGTTGTCGTTGTTGTCGCTGTGGTTGTTGATGTTAGTCGCTGTAGTTATTGTTATTGTTGTCGCTGTGGTAATTGATGTTGTCGCTGTCATGTTATTGTTGTTGTTGTTGATGATCTTTGCTCAGTGAAGGTTGGTATTTTTGTTCTATGTTGTTGTTTTTATCAATTCTTTCTTGTATAGTTTGCTATTATTGTTGTAAATGTTATGATCGTTATTGTTCTTGGTATAATTGTCGTTGTTGTTGTCAATGCACTTGAGTTCATGGTGTTGTCGTTGTGACTAGTGTGGAATTGTTATTGTCAATTAGTAATTTTTTATTGTAAACCTAAATGATTAGTCATTTTTGTTGTTGTGTTTCGTTGTTGTCATTATCGTTCATGTTGATTGYTGTCAAAGTTAATGACATTGTCATGGCATCATTGACGTTGTTGTCAATGTTGCTGTTGTCAATCGGCTATTTCTGTAGTCATCGACATTGTTCTAGTTGTCAGTCAGTGCTGTTATTGTTATCGTTGTTAATAATGTAGTCATCCCTGTTGTTGTCGCTTTTTTGCTGTAATTATTACACATCTGTAGTTTTAGATATGACTTTACTGAATCTGTAAATAAAATCTACTTTCATCGCGCTCGACACTGATCTAAATGCATTTGAAATACAATGATTACTGCTACTGAGCCGTGAAAATCTATTCAGAGCATTAATGACGATCCCGATTTCTATAACTGTAAGCAAATTGTCAGCAGTCTTCGTATGTAGTGTTCGTTTGGTCAAATGTTTCTCGTAATAAAATAAACAAAATCCGTGACATCACATTTGTGTAGTCAAACAGGTTTTTCAAGTAATCAGTCAAATCAAAAATAAAAGTCTTTCCAGCCAAACAGGTTTKTTAGGTTATRTTGGTATTGTCAATTAAGTAGTCAAACCTATTTGGTTGTAAAATAGAATAATGACAACAGTGTATTGTTTTAAAATATTGTATTGTCAGTCAAATATAAACAGTCATAAATGTAAGTAAAATTGTCTAGTAAAACAAAATTAGTCATGTATTGTACATGTACGTCTGCACACGTTTTTGCTGTTTATATATCAAGAGTCAAAGTTTGCTTTACTTCTTGGCTTCCAAATTGTTTATTCCCGTAACCGCAACACCTAATCAGAAGCACTTGTTTTGCCTTTTTCCACGTTCAGCAGTGTGACTTCGCGTTAATATCTTTGACCAAATGCTTAACTAAATGCGCTTGGGTTTTTTTGTTTCCAAACTTTGACACGAGTTAAAAAGCATGTAAAAAGAAAGAAAAATTGATATACGTTGCGTTTAAGTGCATTGTTTTCATGTCTGGTTCTTCTGTCAAAGGGTTGTATTGTTGTCATAAATGTCTCGTAATTCTGTAGCAAATAAAACATTTTGTCGTTATTCGTACCTAAGTCTCAAAGTAATCCTATATGGGTAAAAAAAAAGTTTTAACGTTAAAAACAAAACTAAGGGAGGATATTTAAGCTAATGAAAGTTAACAATCTTGATAGAGACATATCCATGACCAGTGTTGGCTCCGGGTTTGTTCAACTGKTCAGAACCAGAATTGARCGAACCCCCTCCCCCACCGCAGGAATTTGAACGGGATCCACTGGCTCCACCAGAGTATCCTCCTCCACCACCACCTCCCCCACCGGCGCCGTTTGGTCCTCCACCACCTCCAAAGCCTCCRTCGATATGATTTTGATTGGATCGACCACCAACGGCACCTGGAATAAATAATCATTAATCAGTATTATCATTAATTAATAATGAAATTATTTTAAACTTACCAGCAGTGAAACCTCTACCACCCTCTCCTCCAGTCCCCTTCGAGCCACCAAAGTTTTTGTTGCTACGTCCGTTACTTTTGAGTCCACCACCACCACCCCCAGAGTAGCCATTGTCACCTTCGTCAGCTCCTCTTCCTCCTGAGCCTCCAGTCAGCATACTGCCTCCGTAACCAGGGTTACCATCCTGGGAAACGCCACCATGGCAACGAGGGGATTCTGACTTCATCTTGTCCACTCCTCCACCGCCACCAGCTGTGAAAGACATGAAAATGGTGTTAAAACGTCTGATACTGATGATATTGATGATGATGATGGTGATGATGATAATATATTATATTGGAAATCATAATGGAAATTACGATTCTAACCACTGCGCTCTAAATAAAATAATCTACAATCGTTGTCTATTTTTGGGAATACAATTATTTGTACAACGATTTGGCGAGGATTTGGCGAACGCTTGTATGTTTAATGTTTAAGTAGCTTACCGATGATCAGTGGCGAGTTGTCCTGCTTAACAACAAACGATCCTCCGCCACCYCCTGCACCTCCAGAAATCGTGTTGTGCTGCCCTTCGTGCCCTACAAGGATTTTAAGAACATCTCCCTTCTTGAGCTTGAAGTTTCCTTTCACCCTGGCACCACGTCCACGGAATTTACTTGCTGTAAAATATAAGTAGAGTTGTATTCAGCTACTGTATTCCAATKAAATGTAGGATCAGGCAGGCTAACKATTCAAAGACTAAGACTGYGTTCTTGGACGACAATTTGATTCCGTTGGCRACTATCACAACATAATGCCCACCATTGAACTACTCTATGGTTTGATTATATAACAAATATTATATAACTCTGGCATTGATTGGTTGGAATGTGCGAAAAACTGTTTTTCTGTAAGAGCATAGACAAACGTCTTTAAAGTGGAAAGAGTTGCTGTTACTTTATAAAGTATTAGATATCAAAAAAGAGAAAAAATAAGGGGAAAAAAGCTAATCGAATCAAAAATATCAATCAACAACAGCCAAAATTCAACGTGAAAAGTAGAAAAATATAACAGCAAAATAAAATCACTCAAATATAATCGTTACGTACCTCCGCTAAACTTATCATAACCACCAGAGGCTCCAGCAGCTTCAATAGAATATGTTCCTGTAGCGGGAACCTTCCACATCTGTACTCCTTTATTGACACTGACTTGTCCCTCGTGGTCTTGTCCTTTGTAATGAGAACCTACCGTCACTGGACCAAGACGACCACTTGCTCCAAGATTGGTGAACTTAGCTTGGCCGAAAACTACACACACAAAAATTACTATGCGACGTCAGAAACCTACTTTTTTGACATGTGCATAAATGCCTGAATTACAACAAGACGCAAGGATAAAGCCGCTTGGTTCAAAAGTTGAGAGCTGAAGACAATTGAGGTGAGCCAAGGCATCGACACAAGCACAGACGTAAGCATTAGGCGAAGCATAAGCTAATAAAGGATTATAAACAAAGATAGAGCGGATTTCGTTTGAGTGGGAAACGGACGGTACTGTACTGTGACCGTAATCGTACTGTAACCAAATTCTAGTGCCCCATTGATTCACCAATTGTGCAGGCCAGGTCCGGTACTGTGCGGTAACCGTGCGGTAACGGTGTCCCACTCATACGAAATCGGCTCTAACACCTTACTCGTACTTGCTTTTAAAACGTCTAAATCTATTGCGTTGCATCGTGCCTATAACCCTACATCACATCTAACATAAGCTTCACTTAWTGAAATATGCACAATCGTAAGATTCATTCCTTAATTATATATTCTCGAAATATGATTGAGTCTGTTATATTTCCCATTTAGCTTTTTGCCACTTGTGAACCAGGCCTGATAGCATTCCTCGCAGAAATCYCGACATCAAACCGGACGCGCAATGGTAACTGGGACTTGAGGTATATCCGGGAACTCACCGTTGTATCGCTTGTCAGTTTCTTGTCTTGGATTATTGATCACCCAATACGTCACAAAGTTCTTAAAGTACTTCTCACATGATGCTTCTACATACATCATTGATGGTGAYCTATCGGGTTTTCCATCTTCTAAAGCAATACGAATTGATCCGACRAAGACTGGACGATCAAACTCGTACGCAATCCACTGCATGCCTGGCGGGGCTCCTCCATTGCTGATCCAAAGAGTGTCTTGGTTATTGTCGAAGGCATTGCTTGGCTTGTAACCTAATGGACGATAATAAACACATATTAATAACTAATAAATTTTCATATCATGCCGATAAATATAATTCCTTATCCGCTCAACAAATATAGCTTAAAATGGTTGCGCGCGGCCATATATAGAGGATATTGCATAGGGGCGCAGAGATAAGAATTTTATATTCGAGTGTTGAAAAGATAAAATTTATAATCAAAGCGACCATGCAATATTCTGTTTATCATATAATTACATATGAAAGCAAATTATGTCGTAAAATATCTTTTTTTACTTCCAATGTTGTAAAGAAACCTCGAATGAGTTATTTTTCACGAGTGAAAATAACATTTTTTTCGAAAGAGAAAAATATATGTATTTCGTGGATAATTATTTAAGAAAGTTCTTTATCCGATCAACAAATATAGCTTTTAAAAAATGGTTGCGCGCATCCATAAAAAGATTTTATGCATGTCAGCATATTGAATTAACTATTCTTTTAATAACTCTTATGAATATTCGTTTTTATCTGACCCATTCATTAATTAAAGTAGTTAAACTATTCTTCGTAAAACTTAGCGCTTTCTTCTCATATTCATGCCAATTGGAGATCTTTCGTTGCTTAGTAACAACACCACATGTTATTTTTAAACCATCAATTCAATCACAACTTCCTTAAATATTAAAGGGAGTTAACATTACTAAATTAGATAGAAACTTAAGTATTTATTTTCGCATTACTTTTCTTTTATGCCTTCAAAGAATTCAAGCTAACCTTTTGTCCCAAATAGTTTGATACTCAAGTGAAAGATGGCTTAGATATAAACAAAACGGCAGTTTGTATCCCCCGGGGTTTGTAGTTTTGTAGTTTGACTAAAGTAAATTGAAACTTAATATTTATTTTCGTATTTTTCTTGTATGACTTCAAGAAATTCAAGCTAACAGTGTCCCAAATAGTTTGATACTCAAGTGAAAGATGGCAAACAATATAAACAAAGCTGTATTTTGGTTAAAAAGGGGTTATATCATCAAAGATAAAACTGAAAGGGAGCATAAGAAAGCAAATATTATGGTTATAACAGTGTTTCAGTGCCAAAAAATTGCCTGCACCTGCACTGAATAAAATGACCTTCTCTATGAGTAATGCAACATGTTTAGTTAAATATGATTTGATTTTCTAAGATAGTTTCAATGATATCATTGTTGGTAGTTCAAATTTCATTATAACTTACCAGGTCCAAAGTAACTACTTGCATATCCCCTGTGRGGATCTCTTGTCAGTGGCTTGTTTGAGAACGGTGTATCGTACATTTGAAGAGAGGCGACAACCCATAAGAATGGAACTTCGGCAGCGTTTCTTATACGCCARTAAGGATAGCTACCATTGGTGAAGGGGCATTTGTCTTTGCAGAAACCCGACGGCGAATCACATTCATGTTTACCTGGGTTAAGTCAAAGAAACATTCAGTTAGTGAAAGGTACAAGGGGCATTTTATCTTTACAATTTTATTTAGAAAAAAATATGGATACTGTAATCTAATTGATTATTTTATTATTTGAGTAAAAACTTTTTGATATGTTTGCCTCCTAAGTTACATCCGCCATATTTGTTTTCCGGTGTGTCGCCAGATTGGAACAATTACGAAAACTGTACGTGTCAGCTCACGTATTTCCAGTTATTATTTCAAAATACAGAGAAAACTTTTCAAAAAGAGTAAAGTAAACGTTATCATTATTATTATTTTTTGCAATTTGTATTGCTGTTAACAAAGTTTGGGTTAATTTTGTTTTTGAGTTGTTGATAATTTGATAATTTAGCTGAATTACGTGGAATAAAGCTTTTTTGTCTGTGATTTTCTTTGAAAATGATTTATTTTTTTAAATCAAATCTGGGATAAAAAAGTTATTCAATATTATTYATTCTTTTTTGAAGAAAAAAGACGTTGTTTCAAATTAAATCAAATGACAGGACGTTTAATAAATCTTTACTTTTTTAAGTATTAAGTTAAAATCTCGGCCTGTTGAATTGAATTGTAAAAGGCTGCCATAACAATGCCTGAATCCTTATCACAAATAACAAGCGAGAATGCTAATTGGAACTTTTAGCTGACACGAGAACCTGACACATCATCAAGCGAACAAGGCTCAAAAAGATATTCAAATATAGGAAGTCTCGAACACAACGCTTTTACTTTGAGCTAGATAATAACAATAGAATTAAATCATAGAATTAAATAACAAAATTGTAGTTACCAAGTTTTGTCAAAACTGATGAAAGGAAATCAAATTATATACATTGTAACTGAGGGCAGAAAACTGAGACCTACAGAATTTCTCAACATAGCTAGGATCAACGCGTGTGAAAGTCAAGCAAGTGCTCTCTATCCTTTTAAGATGTATGATCTTTCGTTTCAACACAAATTTTCCTCTAGAAAAATCGACACAGTTCATATTTAGTGCTGGACACTGATTCCTTTAGTATTAATTATTTCTTGAAGTATAAGTCTCTAAATTGATGAATAAATCTACAAACTGTTCGATTTTTTAAAAACACTAAGGTTAATCAATTTTTAGATAACCATCACTTTGCACTCCTTGTAAGGGAACTAACAATTAACAAAATATAAAGAAACATCCAGTTCTTCCATAAAAATCTCCGTGCCTCAAAGTGTGATAGTGCAGATGCATAAATTTTTAAGAAAATTTCTTAATCAAAACACTTTGCTATTCTCTCACTTACCTTTCTCGAGGTCATAACAGATCGCAAGCCTCTGTTCCCTGTACCGCTTGTCCGTGTTCCACTCCCAGCTCGTGCAGTAACCGGGTTTGAAYGGTCTGCTCCAKGGAGGAATAACAAGATGCGAAAAAACTTTCTGGTCTTGTCTAAAACCTAACTTATCTCCCATCTGCACTGGGATACCGATTGAATCTTTATCGTTTCCRCCAAGGAAAAATCCTTGCGTTAAACCTGCACAAAACGCCAGCAAGAGGATCGCCCGTGCCATGATCTCAGCGACAGACGTGTTCAATGTGACGAAGTCGAAACGCGTCCAATGTTAAGTTYAGTTCCATTGCCACGCAAGTTTAAATCCAATTGGACGATTCTGATGAACGTGGAATCTAMYTCGTGGACCTATTGTTTTGTTMAGATTTTTAAATAAAATTTTGAAATGTTCGTTGGCACATTACTGCGCGGACGGTATGATTGCCAAGCAACGTGATGGTCAGCGGTTAGCTTAAYACCACGTGTTATMGMTTGTGGTAATGCTCTACGATCTTTACAAAACCCTCGCTAAATAAAGACAGTGATCCTCAAATGAAGATATTTGTCATAAGTGCAGAGATTGGAATACARAGGCGATTTTATGAAATTCTTAAAAGAAACTCTTACTCGGGYTCTTCCGAAGWGTACAGATTTTTATCCTCAAACGACGAAAGTTTCTTTTTAGGTCGATCGRTCATCATAATGACACTACAGTCATTTAAYACTGCCCTTAAAGCTGCAAGAAATTAACTTTTTGGCTTCTACTTTTAAGCCTTTTATGATCAGAAAAGCAAACTATAAAATGTATACTGAATAAAAAGATACTAAATGATTCTCTGACATCTAAATATACGACTGTTACAAATCAAAATGTTTATGATGAACATCAGTTTCAACTGTATGGAGGTTTATCGAAATTCTAAAGTTTARAAATGCACTTGATTTTCTTCCGACYTCAATAAGAAGATGCCAAATGACTCACATATATATATTTTGACTGTTAAAAATCAAAATGTTTATTGATTTATTATGAAGCTCAGTTTCAACTGTACTGAGGTTTATGGAAATTATATCGTTTTAAAATACACTTGATTGTCTTCTGCTTCAACAATAATAGACTAAACATGTGTGTAAACAATGATCTGAAGTTAAACGACAAAAAAAGAGAGTTTATTTCTTTATAAGCTGTCACAAAAAGGACTTGAATGCAAAATATAATATCTTAAAATATATAGAAATTCCCATTATTCTGTTATTAATGATAGAAGTTTCATATTATTCATTTTAACTTGGTGTGGTGTACGTTTTATCTAATAAAAAAAACCTTCTAGCGATCTCTTTTACACTGTGAAACCATGCAACATAATATATTCTTTTATTAAACGCAAGAGATCTGTGAGTAGTATAGAAGACATTGAAAATAGTTTGAAATCGCACGAGTCTATTCTAAGAGATCGCGCAACTTATGTATTAATTGCCTCTTAAAAATCGAATGAATTACATACATGTRCGAATACTACTGAATCATAGATTGCACTTACGGTCAAAACATTACAAAAATTAAGCCAAAACATTTCTATATTCTTGTTCTTTTTTGTTTTTCTACAGAAAACGGAGTCATATTTCTTATTTCATCTTCATATTATCATCAACCTCATCATAAAGATTGAGTATTTCATTGTTGCCATAACCYTTGGTTTGCTGAAAATCCTCGATTTGTAAGTCAACCCCAGCTTTTCTTTCTTTCTATTCTACATGGTCATCTACAGGTTCATATATCCCTGGAAGTCCGGGGGGATTTTGACTGGAAGATGCTTTGTTTGGATGATCGACAACCTCGTTTTGATCTACGGTACCACTGGTTGCTATAGAAACTCCTGCCTTTTTTCCTCTTTTTGATTTTTTGGACTTATCAACAACTGCGTACATGGCTGCAACTTCAGTAGGACTCTTCAGAGCAGATGCATCGTTAGGAGTTTGTGCCTTTTCCTCGTCTTGTAGATTGTTCATATGTGTTGCCATGGTATCTCCTGCCGTCGTTTTCCCTTTTGTTTTTTTAGATTTATCAACGACAGCGTACACGGCTGTTACCACGTGATTTTGCTGAGCAGATCCATCGYTGGCGAGCTGTATTTTCGCTTCTTCTTGGAGATTCTTATTATCTGTTTTCAGAGCATCTCCCATTTCATTTTCTTTTCTGTTTTCAAGCTTTTCCACAACTGCGTACATAGATGCATAAATAGCTCCAGGGTTAGGGCCATTATTGGGTATAGCTTCGTAACTACCTTCTGTTGTTGTTGTAGTTTCATCTGGTTTGCTTTGACTTCCACCGCGCGCAATATGCTGTGTATTACTATCATCGATAGTCGAGTACGTTACTGTTTGAGTTGGTGACGATGGAAGACTGTCAATAGGTTCCATGTATTCTTGTGCATTACTATATGCAGGGGTAGGGTGGGGTGCGGTTTTTTCATTGACCTCTGCGTAAATGACAGGGTCGGGGACTGTGTGCGATGATTCGTCGACCTTAGTCACAGAGTGTCCACTGGATAGATTGTTTTGAACCACGGTTGTCTTGAGTGATGATCTGATGGTAGAAAGATTGTTATCGATTTTATCAATTATTAATTATACATAGTCATATATAATACACCAGACTTGAAAGCATCAACTCACCTTTCTTCAAACGACGATTTACCTTGAAGCAAAGAAAGAGAAAGTGTTTATCATGTAAATGATTCGAAATATAATTAAATTCGAAAGCTAAAAATCTGAATATAAGTCATTAAAAGGATAAGACAGAACAGGAGAAGAGAAGGGAGAAAGCAGAAAAGAGAGGAGAAACGAAAGCAAAGCAAAAGAAGATAAAGAAGAGGAAAAGAAAACTAGAGGTAATCAAGGAAAGAAACAGATCAGTAAAGAGTCCGTGTAAGAAAAAAAACCCTTTAGGCATGTGTATGAAGGGAAACGACGTTCACGTTCTTGTACACTTCTTACCTTTTTTCTTTCTCATCCAACAGCAAAAAGCAATGAATATAACGATTAGGATTATCACTAGAACAGCAAGCACTATGATAATGATGAATACATAAGACGGATATTTTTCTGTTTGTTTGAGCGTGTCACTTGGTGATTTCGTCGTCGTTTTTGATTTCATAGTTGAGACTGGAGCTTGTGAGCTCACTGCAATGAAAAATATAATATATCAGATATATGCGTAGTTGATAATGTTTATTGAAAACTTCTTTAAAAAGATGCAATTTACCAATACTCTTTGATTGGATTGAGCGCTACGTTGTAGCCGCCATGTTTGATGAAGATAACAACAACAACAACAACAACAACAACAGCAAAACCAACAACAACAACATAACTTAAAATTAAGTCAAATTCAAACTTATTATATGTTCCTCGTTAGTTTCTCTTGTTCATTCATCCAACATGGTGGTTATAGCTTTTGGTCGCCGTTTCTCGGTCATTTTTTACGCTATGCAATAGAGAGCATGTTGAATGAACGAACCATTCCTCATTGACTTTTATTGCTCATTCACCCTGCTAGTCGGCTTTAGTTCTGCTTTATGTCATTTTGCTTTTTTTGAAATATCCGGGCGCAAGATTAAATATTTCCCATGCCTCTTTTTGGCTTTCGATATAAGGTCATGAAAGAGCAAGAATCTMATTGAGGATTAAGCGCACTTGTATTATTTGGTTATCGTTTACCGTCATTAGTATATTTTGTTTTGTACTTACTTGTTGTAGTTATCATTATTGTCGTTGGTTGCATGTTATTTTGTTGTGTTGTCTGTATTGGGCGAGTTGTTTTGGCCTGAATCTTACCAGTTGTGGGCGGGATGACTTGAGAGCAAGATGTCAAACGAATCTTGCTTGATGAATTACTCCAGCAAACTGGATTGAGTCTTGAATTGACTTTAGTCGCTGAATGATAAGATTTATTATAATCAAACGCATAATTTACAATATTCGAGTGTATTAGTACGTTTAGTACTCGGCTGTATTTACATTTTAATGCTATGTTTACAATATATATTCCTAAATTCGTACCTGCATCGTATTCACAAATGTAGGGAAATGTAGAAGCACAATTCACGTCTTTGATAAGTCCATAATTGCCCTTTGGATGATTTTTAGCTATTGCAACACAATATTGATCATAACCGCCCCTATTATTTGGCTCGCCAGGCTGCCATTTGCTGAAAATCGTCAGTTTTTGTCCACTTGCCCAACTCCAACCTGCTTTTCGTTTTTCCTCTAATGAATTGCACTTTTCCAATTCTTTCCTGGCAATGGTTAATCCTATAAGCCATTCGTTGTGTTCATTTGCTGTAGAATTTATTTTCTGTATCTCACTCGTTATAAAGTTCCATTCATCTTCTGTTTCCATGGATACCAATGTCCCATTTCTGGTTTCGCAGTCTTGGTTGCTTTCTATCCAGCGGTTTCTGTTCGTATCATGAAACGTGTAACACGAACAGTGTGCTAAAATTAGAAACATGTCGTAATTATTATGTACAATCAAACACCTTTGATAGTGAAGCATCACACGTAGAATGTGTTTTATAGACCCCTTGCAGTTCATGTGAATGCAGCTCCAACTGGAGGACAAAACAATAGATTCTAGTTCCCAAGAGGATAAAAATCTTTTGTTTTGTCCTCCAGATGAAGCTGTTTTGACGTCACATGCAAGGGGTCTATAGAGAAAGACTGGACGCGAACCAGTTACAATGATRACACTTCTGGTCTTGTTGCATTTCGATACGTGTTCTGATGTTTCACTCATTATCTATTATCGTATCTTCCCACATCTTAAAATTCTCAATTCAATTATATATTAGCAGTCTAGCTGTAGCGATAGATGGTCAATTGATAGTCAGTCTGTAAACAAGACTGATTGTTGGACAGTTAAATAATGCAAAAACATATATAGAACAAATCACAATAAAAATTAAATACCAAACTTGTAGCTTTATATTTTTCGTTTTATTGTTAATGCATAAAGTGTATATAATGGGAAAATGGATATCTTTCATGCTGGAACCATTGTTAATCATGTCAAATGAAATGGTAAAGCCAAAATAATTCTAGTGATAATAACACTGAATAAATAAATCGAAAAAAAGATATGACGAGCGTTTGACTTAATGCCAATTATGCCATCAAATCTGAGATGCTTTTAAGAGGTATTTTGAATTGAAAATGCACAATAAATGCAACTAAAACATTGAAAGCTATCTTTCACCTCAATTCGACGACCTGAACATAAACTGAATCTATTCGATGATTAGAAACTTTCTCTAATATTTGTTAATAAACTTGGTTTTAACTCAACACGTTCTGGATGGTTTGAACGTAGTATTTCTCTAGTAAAATCCTGACATTGCCAGTTTGTTACAAAGAGAAATTATATATATCTTACCTGAGCACGAGGTTAGCCACAACTTCCTTTCTACTAACATCAGAATACACAACAAAACTCGAGCCAAAACAACTCCCATGTCGAAAAAATACTTATTTGAATCTTTATCTACCCAGTCTTTGGTTTTTAGAGTAAAAATATCACCTTTATCAGAGTTTAAAAGGTATTTTTCCAGAGACGTTAACAAAAGAACAGCGACATAGCATTGAACTGAAGGAAATANGGCCGAAGGACAAGTATGGATTGATCAGAGACGTGAATTGTTATAATATTCGTTATCCTTATATTTGCGAATACGATGCAAGTACGTCAATATAACGTTACATGATAATTTAATATAAGCCTGGTTTCTAGATGATCGCTCACTATCGCTCACTAAATAATGCCAGCGGTCGTGAGCGACAATCGAAGTGCATCCCACTAGKCATAGCGACATATTTYTTTATACGTTTCTGGAYGCAAAAWCTTCAAATTAAAGATATAACCGAAGATAAAACCGAAGATACGTGTTACATTACCCGCTATATAGACCTTTGCGTGTTGTTTAAAATGTCACATAGCAGTTTATCCTTTCTAAAAGTAACTTGAGCGATTAAATAGAAACACGGCTTTAGGCCTTTTGCATGAAACGGTCACATGGTCTAAATCCGCAATATTGGATGGTAAAAAATATTCCAACTGGGCTGTCCAAAACAAAGAAAAGTCAAACTTGAAGAGCTGCGTTACTTTTTTTAGGTTGTTTACATTCTTTTGCCATCCAGTATGGCAGATTTAGTAACATGTGACCGTTTCATGTTCATGCAAAAGGACTATTGTTAGCGATCGAGAGTAATCCTTGAGCCATTAATTTCAGCCATCTGGCGATAGTAACGATTCTAAAGCACTTGAATATCATAAATATTATCATTCAGGGACAARAGTTAGCCCAAGTCTTAATCCAGTTTGCTGGAGTAATTCATCAAGCAAGATTCGTTTGACATCTTGCCCAGAAGTTATTANCCAAGGATCTGGGAGTTCTACTCGACCCTTATCTGACCTATGATCACCATATCACAAACACAGTCTCATCTTGCCTTTCTAAGCTTTGCCAAATAAACAGAGTCAAGAAAAGTTTTGACAAAGGAACACTAGAGCTGCTGATAAAATCCTTAGTCTTCAGTAAAATGCTGTACTGCTCCTCTGTTTGGTCAAACACCACATCGAAAAATGTTAACAGACTCCAGTCGATCCAAAACTTTGCCTGTAAGATTATCACAAATTCTAGGAAATTTGACCATGTGAAACCACTACTCCGCGATTTGAACTGGCTGCCTGTCCGAGAACAATTACAGTATAGAGACTCAATTATGACATACAAGTGCATGAACGATCTGGCACCTAAATACTTGACAGCCAAGTTTCAGAAACGCTCTACTATCCACACCCGACACACGCGGAACATTGATAATCTACAGATCCCACTATTCAAAACGGCCGCAGGTCAAAGAACGTTTACATACAGAGGCACAAAAATTTGGAACAATCTTAGCCCTTCATTAAAACAAGAACCCAACATCAAACATTTTAAACAACACCTCAAAACCAATCTTTTAAAAGATTTCCAAGAGTCCCTGTTGTAAATAATTGTACAATGTATATACAATTTTAATCTATCTTTAATATATTTATATGTATATTTTCCTTCTTTATTTGATAATCTCTGAAAAACCTTTCTTAAGGATGTGATTAATAAAGTTTATTATTATTATTATTATTAAGCTGTAAATGTCAATATATTTAATACGATTTTTAAGGGATATTTTCAAATTAGATATTATTTTTTTGCTGCCCTAACAGAAACAAAAAACAACTACGCAGAAGCCTCAGTTATCACTACAAAAAACTCCCGTAAGTTTAAATCATATTTTGTATTTTGAGTATGGATGTGATGTTTGTTACTAAGTTCAAAAAAAAAAATATTTTCAATTTTCAAAGCTATTGCTCCAGTAAAACACTCATGAGATTCGAGACCTTCATAATTCACATAATTGCAATTGGAACATTGTAAATGTCAACATTTAAGATCGTTTTTATATGACTAGCTATGATATACACCCCTCCCCCCTCCCCGGGGGGACTCCCTTATAAAAAATGTGGGAGTCCTCGTCGGAAATTCTGAAAATGACCCCTAAAAGGGACCTGTATTGTGAGATGATGGGCGTGACAGCGCAGAACTTTCACTTTAAGAGGGACCAATCAATAAACGGTTATTTTGTTTTGGTTTCCCGATTTTATTTGTGTTTTTGCACAAGCATCAAAGGCTGTCGGCTCGTATTGAGTTTATGACGACGTTGTCATATACAAATATATGATGACGGCTTAGGGTCATCGTATACCCTAAAAGGGACCACAMCACTTGTTGGTGGGAATTCTCGTCATTATCACCCTAAGCGGGACCAAAACACTGATTTCAAACCCTAAAAGYYCCCCTCCCATGCATACACCATTATGCATTAACAAAAAACCGAAATATAAAGCTATAAGGAGGTATTTTTGTCCTATAATTACTTTGTATGTTTTTGCATTATTTCAATGTTCAACGATAAATTGTAGTATTGTTTTTCAGAATTACTATCTATCAGCTACACTAGTATTTTAATTGAGTTGAGAGAATTTTAAAGATGTGTGAAGATTTGATTGATTTGTTAATATGTCATGAGTGYAAATCAGAACACGTACCGCAAAAATGCAACAGTTTAGAGCAACAATATAGCAAATGCGGCCAGATACTGCTGTTATATGGTAATACTTAACTTTATATGAAGTCGAGCTTTCGCTGTTCTACAGCATCTTCAGGATTATTATTATTACTCTCCCTACTACATGGTACTAACATGTTATTGAAGGATAACTTCTCAAGGCAACAGTTTAAGACCAGAAGGCCAGGATAACGAGTTTACCAGCAGTGTCATCATTTTCATTAGCTCGCGTCCAGTCTTTCTTACGATTATTTTCTAATTTTAGCACGCTGTTCGTGTTACACGTTTCATGATACGAACAGAAGCAGCTGGGCAGAAGGCAAGGCAGACTGCAAAACAAGAAATGGGACATTGGTATCCATGGAAACGGAAGATGAATGGAACTTTATAACCAATGAGATAAAGAAAATAAACTTTACAGAAAATAAAAGCAAGGAATGGTTTATAGCGGAGCTCCCGCGCGGGCCGAAGGCCCGCGCGAGCGGAGCACCATAACTAAGGAAAAATGGTAAACCCATGGAGTTGAGTTTTGATCAACCGACACAGGAAGCCCAGTTGTCCTTCCGTACGGCGTACGTCCGTCCGTGTACATCGCGATTCTGATTGGCTACTTTTGAGAAGGCGGGAAAAGGAAGCGCGCTCGCGTCAATTTTTGAAAACAACTTTTTCACCACAACGACGACACAACGACTCCATTTTTGTCCTTTGAAATACTTTACTTCTGCGC